TTTTCCTATTCAAGAAGAACACATTACTTAATTCAAGCCTCGAGGGCGACTTCGCATTCAGCTCGTCGAGGGAACATCTTCACAGTATTTATGGTTCTTATAACATCTTCGAGGTATTTAAGATCGCTATGAATGACTCTTCTCTCACTTTCCTGTTCTCTCTCTCTCTCTCTCTCTCTCTCATTACTCTCTCTCTCTCTCTCTCTCTCTCTCTCTCTCTCTCTCTCTCTCTCTTCTCTCTCTCTCTCTTCTCTCTCTCTCTTCTCTCTCTTCTCGCTCTCTCTCCTTCTCTCTCGCTTTCCGATTTCATTTTTTTCGTCTGTCTGTCTCTCCTTTCTTCTTTCTTTTTCTCTTTTTTTCATGGGACGGAGGGAAGGGAAGGCAGAATACACGCACACACCACATAAACACGACCGCACATAAAACACAACAGTTAACATAACGCACACACGCACACACAGACAAGCAGAAACAAAGATACACAGTAGAGAGAGAGAGAGAGAGAGAGAGAGAGAGAGAGAGAGAGAGGAGAGAAGAGAGGAGAGAGAGACGAGAGAGAGAGAGGAGAAGAGAGAGAGTAGAGAGAGAAGAGAGAGAGAGAGAGCAGAGAGACAATGAAAGAGAGACAGACAAACAAACAGACAAAAGATTAGACAGAGAGGTAATGTGTGAAAACAAAACCACCTGCATGTGTTCGTCCATGATTTAATTATATATTCAGCTTCTCCGTGGCATATATATAGTGTATCTATCATAAAGTTTGTATCGCATAAAAAAAAAATTATACTCTTCATAACATACTATAAATAAGGAATTCATTCATCTAAACTACATGAATCAGTAAAAATATCCACAGTCACATCTGTATAAATATGCATAGTTTTTTTTTATGTTAATGGTGGAAAGACGCAGGGTAGTTTTAGGTGAGTTCAGAGAGATGGAGGATTGGAAAGGAACACAGAGCGGGGATGGTGCGGTTGCTTGGGTGTGGGGGCGGATATAAAAATTTATATATCCTAGATATCTATAGCCCAACTTTCGATATTCATTTTAAGTAATTCTTTTATGCATCAGACCACCCTGCTTCTACTACGGCGCATTCTTTTTTTATAAAACAAATGTGAGTACATGTCTAAGACACGTTTCGTCAGTAAAAAAGAAAAATGTTTCCATACGCATGCGTCAAAATATTCACTCACATCGCTCACCCCTCCCCCCCTCCTCTCTCGCCGGTCCCTCTCTCCATGCTCTCTCTCTCTTCTCTCTCTTTCTTTCTCTTCTCTTTCCTCTTCGTATTTTTTTCTCACTCTTATCTCTGCTGGATCTCTCTCTCTACTCTCTCTCTCTCTCTCTCTCTCTCTCTCTCTCTCTCTCTCCCTCTCTCTCTCTTCTCTTCTCTCTCTCTCTCTCTCTCTCTCTCTCTCTCTCTCTCTCTTTCTTTTCATTCTTTCTTCTCCAATTTAGCATCTCTGTCAACTGGTTGTTCCCAATTTTTTTTCGGTTACGAACCCCTAAATATGTTGAACATTTAAATATATCCAACCATTTTTCATGCCTAGTTATACTTGCAGATTACATACACCTTACGTTATTCTATACTTCATAGGTTTTAAAATACCAAAACAAATGAATTTCAATAAGTAAGTCGTTAATAGAAAAAACATATAACTTTTATTTTATTTTATTTTTTCTATATTTATTTTTAGTCTATGGATTCTTTTTATTATTCATTTTAAGACCTCTGGCGACCCTCAGAAAAAAAAAAAACCCCCCTGGGTGACCTCAAGTTGGGTAGTGACCGTGCGGTAGCTGCCATACATCTATGCTGATTTGCTCTCCCGTTCCCTCTCCCTTACCTTACCGCAGAACACACGCACGCACCACACACGCACACATCACACATTACACACCACACACACACACACACCACACCACACCACACACACACACACACACACACACACACACACACACACGCACACGCACGCACTCTACACTCACCACACACACAACCACAACACACACACACACCACACACACACACACACACACACACACACACACACACGCACACACCACAACACACACACACACGCACACACACCACACACACACCACACACACACACTCACACACACACAACACCACACAACACACACACACCACACACACACGCGCACGCACGCCACGCACGCACCGCACGCACACACAACACACACACTTCCACACAACACACACACACACACACACCACACGGCACACACGTACACACGCACCACACACACACCACACCACACACACACACACCACACAACACACACACACGCGCGCACGCATCGCACGCACCACACACACACACACACACACACAACCACACACCCACACAAACACACACGCGCGCGCACGCACGCACACACACACACAACACACACACACACACACACTCACACACACACACACACACACACACACACACACACCACACGCACACACGCACACCACACACACACACCAACACACACCACACAACACACCACACACACCACCACACACACACACACACACACACACACACACAACACACGCGCACACACTTACACACACGCACACCACGGACAAGGTCATTCCCAAGCCAGTCGCTCGGGCTCCTCATATTTCTATTCTCTCTCAGTCGTATTCCTCTGAGACTCCTATTACCTTCCCTCTTCTCTCTCGCTCTGTTTCTGTCTTCGCCTCTGTCCCTTTCTCTTTTTTCTTTTTTCTTTCTCTGTCTCTGTCTTTCTCTTTGTCTCATGTCTCTCGTTCTCTGTCTTTCTCGTTCTCTCTCTCTTCTCTCTCTCTTTCCTCTCTTCTTCTCTCTCTCTCTCTCGTCTCTCTCTCTCTCTCTCTCTCTCTCTCTCTCTCTCTCTCTCTCTCTCTCTCTCTTCTCTCCTCTCTCTCTTCTCTCTCTCTCTCTCTCCTCTCTGGCCCCGTTCCTGGACACGCTCTCCCTCTTCCCCCCTAACTACCCCCCCTTTGCCTCCCCTTTGGTCCATATTTACCCCCTCTGTCTCTCTCCTTACCTTACCTCTCCGTCTCCCTTCCTTCCATCTACTATTCTGACTCTCCGTTGTATTTCGTAATTTCTGTTCGTGTCACTTTTATTCCCTCTAACATTCTACCTGTTTTATTAACTTTGAAATATTTTTGACTCTCTATATCTTCTTTCTGACTTTCTTCTGTCTCTCCCTCACCTCTGCTCTTCCTTTTCTCTCTTCACATATCCCCCTTTCTCTTCTCTTTCTCTTCCTCATTTGCTTCCCCTTTTCCCTCTAAATCTCCCCTTCCATGCTTCTTCCCTTATCCTCTTAACTTCCTCCCCTCTCACTCTCTCCCCTCTTCCCCCTCTCTCTCTTCCCTGTCCTCTCACCTCCTTCTATCCCGCTCATTCTCTCTCCCTTTCCCCTTCCACTTCTCTCCCTTCCACCCACCCTCCCCCTTTCACTCTCTCTCCCTCCCTCTCCACTTTCTCTCCCTTCCCCCTCTCACTCTCCTCGTTCACACCACTAACTTTCCTCCTTCCCTCTAAACACTCTCTTCTCCCTTTCCCCTCTCACATCTCTCTCCTTTTCCCCTCTCCACTCTCCCCTTCCCCTTTCCCTCTACACTTCTCCTCATTCCCCCAACTTACTTTCCCCCTTCCCTCACACTCTCCCCTCCCCTTCCCCTTCTTCCCCTCTTACGGTCAGTAGCCTGAGCTTCATCACAAGCTTACCGCTACAACTAAGGTATTTATACATCACGCTACCTCACTCTTACTCATTTCCGCCCCAAGTCTGTGCGTGCATGCGTGCTTTCTGCTTGGAGTGCATGGGGAAGCCGTTGCCTTAGAGTATTAGGGAGGGAATGTTGATTTGAAAAAAAGGGGTGGGAATGTTGGGGAAGGGAGGGGGGGGAGGGATGAGCTAATCCCCCCTGGTCGTCTGTAAGCGAAAAGCGGTGGGCGGCAGCGTAGAGTTACTCCACCTGCACAGCTGTATTGGTCTGTGTCAGCGGGGCTCGTGCGGGTCCAGATACTCCCATTTCGCTTATCTCTGAGAAACTCGAAGACTCGCCTAAACTTTTCTTTTCCTTTGTTTCTTGGTTTTCTCTCCTTAAATAAATGGACGTGGATGTATGTCTCATAGGGATATGTCCGTATCCCCCCCCCCCGACACGCACGTACACACACACGCACACACACGAACGCATACACACACCCCCTTGCTGCATACACATTCAATTTCAGATCCGGGAGGGGTCAGACGGGGATGTTGTACAAAAATGCGGGACAGATACTTACTCTTGATGTGGCATGTGATGTCATTCTCCTGCGCGTAGGACGGCTAACATCGCCGGGAAATCATTAAGAGAATGAGGGCAACATCCGGTGCTGCAGGTTGGTAAGGGAAAACCACCATCCTCACTTTAATCTCATGCGCGGGATATTTTGGGGAAAGCAGGTCAAGCCTCCACAGACACTCTCACCAGCACTAGGGCGTCGCACTCAGGCTTCCGCGACACTAACACAGCGCATCGTTGCTTTGGCCTTTAATGGTTCTCGAGCGCTCTCTCTCTCTCTCTCTCTCTCTCTCTCCTCTCCCTCTCTCTCCTCTCTTCTTCGATAGCACCGACACACCTACAACGCCTTCAGCCAAATCAAAGATGGCTCGCTTTCAGGGACGACTCGACCTGGCCTGACCTCGATCACAGCGGCCAGGGCAACGGCAGGGCGGGGTCACGGGGCCTACACAGCTCTCATGGCAAGGGGGAGAGAGACTCGGTCGGCCGTCGAGCTTACTACGCTAGCACTGACGGTCGACGATGCCACTGAGCGGAACACTGCCACTGTCGCGCCTCCCGCCAGCGATCAATAAAAATAGATGCGCGGCTCTCTGCTCACGACCGCTCGGGCTCTCCGCTCCCCACTCCCCGCTCCGGCGCTCCCCACTACCCGGGCTGCCGCCGCGATCAATCCCGCCGACGCGACCGCCAACTTTGAATCCCTTCCGAGGGTCCCAAGACTCGCCGAGAGGAATGTCCACGGCGATAGGAGAGCCTCCTCTTCGCCTCTGCGCTCGTTTCCCTCCCTTCGGCGGAGCGAACGGAGGGACAACGAACCTAGAATAATCCGAGGGAGGAATACACATAGATAGAAGACATCCGGAAGCGCGAGAAATATCCTAAAAATGGGGAAAATAAGCATTAGTATCCTCGCGTTCAGAACTTGCTCCGAGGAGATCCTTCCCCTATAAGCATTCCTCCTCCTCCTCCTCTCATCTTCCTCTCCTCCTCATCCTCTTTCCTCCTTCCTCCTCTTCTTCCTCCTCCTCCTCTCTTCTCCTCTCAGCCCCCCCCTCCCCCATTCGCCGCACAAACACCAAAACAAACAAAACAAACACAAAACCAAAACCAAAAAACAAAAAACAAAGCGAGTATTCGAAAAGGCGAGAA